AATTGACTTACCTCCACGTGGTGCACCTTGGGCAACGTATATTCATACGGCAAAAAAGTCCATTAACTGGCAGTTGACTTCTCACTTCAAACTACCATCACCTCACTCTATGCCATATTCGACCACTTCCACAGTACTCACCTCACCTTTCATCTACCTTTGTGTTTGTCTCTTACATCTTTGAAACACTCTTCTGTTCCCCCCCCCTTCTCGACTTTTTTCAATTTGATGTTCCTTCCCCTCTGCGAAGCCTGAAGTTGGCTAAAGGGCTAATGATAACCATCAAGACGCCTGCCATTTGGTATAAATAAATTTCTCTCTGGGCATGATCCATTCGAATTTGTCAGTCTGCTAAGCAAATTTTTCTCCCAATCAACTTACTAATCTGAAATATGGGAAATCATTTGACATAGAATTAAAAGCATTCCTTGTGGGCTTCGAGAGAACCATTTGCCATCAAAAATGGCTATTGAGTCAAATCAAATTGACGAAATACAAGTGTATAGATACTACTTTAGTTGATTTATTTAAATAAATTAAATGGAAAACATATTCCAACAAATAACCGATGTGCAGCCCACATAAGCTAAGAGCGAATTTTTGTGTTCGTTTTAATGCAAACGGAAGGGGGAAGTGCATCATTCTCCAAACTCCGTGTTTGCTCTTGGATTGTCCAAATTCTTTGGTGGGAGATTCTCCTTCAAGATTATGAAAAGGGGAACATTTAAACTTCTACTTGTCGGCCTAATCAACGTTGAACATTGCAGGGGAGAATGGATTTTAATTACAATTATCTCGAGGTTTTGTTTTGGAGCAATCAAGTCAAATTTAGAATGGAATTTTAAAGCGCAGAATGACGGAACAATTACAATTATTTAGTAAATGACTTGCTAAATTCATGATTTTAAGTTCATGTAAATATCACTTGATATGCGCCTAAGGATATGCAGGGAAAGCCCCTTCAGATTTAAACTTTCACCCATGGCCAAATATTTGATTGATAGTAAAATAAAGCAGAGTACTATAGAAGGAGAATCAGGAGTTTGAAAACAATGCTAGCCTCTGAACAGGCAGGAGTGATGGAGAGATGTAGTAACAGAAGACCTCAAAAAGGAGATAAATGAATCGAGATGCTGGTGGATGCAGTGCTTGTAGAAATAGTACAATGAGGAAGATAGAAAAGTCATCGATAGATCGGGAATGTGCTTGCAAAACAACTTTTAAACACATAATAGTATTAATGCAAACTTTGAGAATACGGCAGGGAAAATCAGGCCTTCCGTATTGAACAGCGACATTCTTGAGGTAAAATACATCAGAGTAGCCTTGTGGGAAAATGATGATATCGTTATGTAGATACCACTGACCGTTTCATGCTGGTTTCCAATTTCAAACAAGACCTCAATCATTTTTTTATGGTACTTCTATTAAGCTTTTATTGACGCAGACTCCTGCCACAGACCTTAGATATCAATCAACAGTCAGCGTGTTGGAACGATAAGATGAGGTCAAAGTCATCAAACTGCGAGAGTTCGGATGTACGCACACACGGATGTCATTCATTACACGGAGATATCAAAAATCTCGCTCAACTGACGCCACGTTTCTAAATATTTGCTTCCATTTTAATCTATAAAATCGCGTAGCTGCACTGGTTGCTTTCGAACTCCACTACCAACATTGCCAACTTGACTTCTGCGATGCGGTTCCATTGCAGCATATTCTCTCCCTCTTAAGTGAGAACTCGGATGTCGATGCTCACCAACCTGTTTATTAACACAACTAGTTTGAAAGTCGTATCGTGGACTCAAATTTATTGCAACACTGTAAATAGGGGGAATGGTTGATCTTGTTTTGATAGAAAAGGGATAGATCACCAATACGGGTTCGTGAAATAAATATCAGAATCATTAATTCATAATATGTCCATTTTCGGAGATTCAACGACACAGTTCAACAAATTATTCTCAAGTCAATCGATTAGACAGTCGTATTTAGAGATGGCGAGCAGTGCGTGCAAAATATGATCCAAAGTTCGGCAGATGACCTTGACTCTACCCACACCAATAGCTTGAGTCATCAATGGACGGTTATTTCAACCAGTAGATGGCTTGACGACAATACCTTCAATGTGGAAATCGGAAAGCGCATTTGGAGTCGATTTGCGAATGACAGTATCTCTGAAGTAGTCTCGATATTATAACTTCTCTCTGCCACGCCTTATTTTGACGTTCGGGAATTGGTAAATTTCATGATTTAAATTAGTAAAAGTTTTTAGCGACTCAAGTGTTGGTCATCTACCGGAGAAACAGATCATACCGATTCTCAAAATAATAACAGGGGAAAAGAGACGAGGAATAAGGATCCTGGAATCAATTAGTTCCAAATTTGAGACTTACGAGGTCATTCATTATTTTGAGTAAGCAGTTCATTAGTTAACCGTCATTTGCGTATTAAAGAGGAAAACTGCAAACTTTGATAAAAAAAATCGGCAATTGCAAATACCAACTACTTTCCTCCTTGATGCTATAAAGAGAGAATGTGGGAACGAACTTTTGAGGCAATTTCGTCGTTATTTATCAAATCGTATCTACTTCCACATATCTCTAGTAGCGCCGGAAATAAGACGATAACTAGAACTAGTGATCAAAGAAAGCCAGTCCTCTCGATATTACATATAAGTCCAAGAACGAAGTAGACGGTTACTGATGAAGAAAGTCGTATTTTTATGAAGCAGTCTATACAGATAACAAATACTGTAAACGCATCTTTTCATTATCTTGACACGTTGTTGGTAGTAGACAATCGATAATCCACGGTTGTTTTAAGACCAACGCCTTGAATCTTTCCATATCCGCACATCCAGAAGAGCCAAAATGGAAGATCTGCTCTAGATACTGGATGGAATCACGAAAGGGTTGATATGGATCAAAATCTGGATGAATTGCTGCAATATTTGTCACAAATGATCCTTTTAAGAGTTGGGCGAGTTCGTAATTTTTTCGAATCATTCCATCTCGATCAATATCTATGATCTTGAATGCCATTTCAGCTCTTTCTGTGAGACTCCCTCTTAAGTAGATAGACAACATCAGGATGAAGTTCACTAGTGGAATTTCCGACTTTTCTTTGGGAGATTCGGACTCGAATAATTCAGCAGTCACTCTTGCCAATCCTAATAATACATGCGAGTTTGTGATTCCCACCGTATTTCTCAGAAAGTCTCTTAATTCGTCCTTGGTCATGCAACGAGCTTGATTTCCAATGATGGTGAAATATATCTGTGAAAGAACTGATATTTCCCTACTATTGAAGTGCATATTGGGATGCCTTTTTAGTTGAGTTACGGTAGCAGCTATCACTCGCCTAATGCTTGTTGGGAATTTGTAATCAGCTTTGGCCGATTTTGGGATATATGAACTAACTCCTTTATCCACAGCTAGTACCAGATTTGCAGCTTTTAAATTCCGACGAAATCGGCAGTAATCCCCACTCGGAAGGGCGAAAACCGATGGCGCGACGTAATTAATACTCCTATCTTTTGTGGAGATAGAAATCGTTTCGCACTTTCGCAATCTAGGACCACTCATGTCCTTCTCTCTGACACCGAATTTCATTTCTCCATCAGACATAGTTCAAGGGGTTCAATCTTCCTGTTGTCAGGTGCGTATCGATTGGTAACACGCGTGAACAAAAATACACGAAAATTCATTTCATGATAAACTAAGAATGTTCTTCCTTGCTAATCTTTACAATCATCTTCTATTTGACAGAACGAGTTCAAGTACATTCAGGGACTAATTTTTGTATTCGGGTTCATGCATCAATCTGAGTCACGTTTACATTGTTTGTTTTCAACATGACACTCCTTATCTTCCTGTTTGCCAAATTATGTTGCAGAATGGTAGTCTGTTTCAAGGCTTTAAAATGGTAAATAAGTTGAGCAAGTTCAGTCATGGAGACCGGAGTTTGACCTCGAATTCATGATCAGTCTTCGACTCAAGTTGGTTTCCAATTTGGGGCTATTACGTAGCAAATTGAGAGCAATTCAGTTTCCCAAACATTTGTGATTTAGTCTCTTGAAAATAAATCCTAAATACCTGTACCTTCAAACACTCATCTTCTTACTTACGCCACCCCACCCCCCCATTTGGTAATTGGATTACTTAAAACTAAAATATATTTTTTTATGTTGAGGCTTTACTTTAACCCCTTCGAGGATTTCAGTCTCCAGAGATATTCTCTCAAAGTGAAAAGTGAACTTTATCGCGCCTCTAACAGAATATGCACTAGTTCTTATTCTCATTGTGACTTTGGTAAAGTACATTTTCCTGAGATTTACTTCTGCCTTATAATTAGTGCGTGGCAATTCAGGGATGTTTCGTGGAAAGGTAAGGAAACTGGTTTGGTCGTTTTAACTTATTTCAACAACTTGAAAGTGGATGACCAAATCAACAATCATAGAATTGTCAAGATTTCCATTTATAGACATTAATGCTCTTTTTATATAAATAGCTTTAGCAATTTATATCATTAGAGTACGTTTGGTAGCCTCAGGCTCTGCTTAAAAGTAATTAAAAACATTCTCGTATATTCGTATTTTAATATTTATTTTGCTTTCCACTATAATTTTATGGAATTTTGTTGAAATAGTGTCGACCTTCCAAAGCACTTCCTTTCGCTTTTAATGCTGCCCGAATAAGCCTCGACTTATCATCAGTAATCTCTAGGTCAAAGTCTCCTATTTTGGAAATCTCTCGAAATTAGCGAAGTTGCCTCACCAATATAAAGGAAACAAGTGCATGACGTGGAACACGTTTATGTGGGCTGTGTTGTGTCAGACACCGGGCTTGGTCATGAAAACACAATTTTTGATAAATTAAACAATGCAACGATTATTGATCGGTGTTTAGTCGATTGGTCCTGCACTCGTTAAGTACTTGCTCTAGATGCGACAAATGGTTCGCTACTTATTTGAGTGCACATGAGATTTCTTTGTTCAGCCTTGGTGACATCGTGCACTCCACACCCTTCACCCCTTTTCATATTCTCGTGTGCTAGCGTTTTCAAGATTCAAAATTGAACTTTTCTTCGCTTGAGTTAAAAATAATCAAAATAATAAATGGCAAAACTGGGGTGTACGGTAGACTTACCTCCACGTGGTGCTCCCTGGGCAACGTATACTCATACGGCAAAAAAAGTCTATTAACCGGCATTTGACTTCTGACTTCAAACTACCATCACCCCACTGTATGTCATATTCGACCCCTTCCACAGTACTCATCTTACCTTTTTCTCTACCTTTGTGTCTGTCTGCTTCTTTTACATCTGTGAATCGCTCTTCTGTTTCCCACCCCTCGAATTTCTTCTACTTTGATGAACCTTCCCTCTGTGAAGCCTGAAGTCAGCTAAATGGCTAATGATAGCTATCAAAATGTCTGCTATTTGAAATAAATAAATAAATGGCAAAACTTTGCCTGATGGTCGGAATTTAGG